ATTCACACTATTTTTGACAGTCTGCAACCCCCCTATGATAGACATACATCTGTTTTCCTAGAAGGATCAGCATGCTTAAGCTGCAGAATCGCCAGCAAATGTGGTGTCCAGTTCTGGGCACCACAATTGAAGGAGGATGTTGAGAAGCTGGAGCATGTCCAGAGGAGGGCCACCAAAATGGTAGAAGGTCTGGAAAGCACCAAACCCTATGTGGAGTGACTTAGGTAGCTGGATCTGTTTAGCCTATGGAAGAGGAGGTTAAGAGGTAACATGATAACCATTTTTAAATATTGGAAGGGATGTTGTATTGAGGAGGGAGCAAGCTTGTATTCTGCTGCTCCAGAGACTAGGATCTGGAACAATGGATGCAAGCTACAGGAAAAGAGATTCCACCTCAACATTAAGAAAGGCTTCCTGACGGTGAGACTAGACAGTGGGGATGGTGGACATCTTTGGATGGAGATCTTTGAAGGATTTTAAGCAGAGGCTGGATGCCCATCTATCACAAGAGCTTTGATTGTGTTTTCCTGCATAATAAAATGGTTTTGGACAGCATGGCCCTTGGAGTCTCTTCCAACTCTAGGATTCAGTCATCATTATCATCATCATCATCGGCATCATCATTGTCAATGTTGTTGTCATCATCATCTGTCAGTTTGACAGCCTCCTAGGTTATAACAGTTTTAGACTGGCTAATTGTTTTGGTTTCGGATTTCAGCCAAGAATCTAGGAATTAGTGGTGCAGTATCCACAGATAATGTGGCATGTTCCAAGCAATGTCACTTTTTGTAACTGCCATTGCGAACCTGCCTCTGGCCATTTCATTTGGGTGTTTTGTTGGTCCATTTGAAACTGTGCCCATGGGCACCTTGCACTTCTGGATCTATCCATCACATTCTTGGCAGCCTCAGCTGGGAGGGATGCAGCTTCTTCTTCCTTGACAAGTGGCTGTCATTCACTCTTTTCTTTGTTGCCACTTTTCTTTCCAGAGCGGATGCTTTCTGAAGTCAGGAATAACAAGAAGAGCCTGGAAGGTAAAGCGGTTCTTTGACATCATAGATATGTTTGTGTCATATTTGGTGCTTCTGCAAATGTTTTCTTTCTATAGACATATGGCAGAGACAGTCAGAGCTGCTGGTCCATGACAGTCGTGGCTACACTACACATTATCTCCCCCAAAATAGAATTCAAAGACCTAGGTGTGTTAGTCTGGAATATGCAAAGGGATCTTATAGCACCCTTGAGACTAAGTTGGTAGCATGACCATAGAATCATAGAATCATACATGCATCTAAGGAAGTACGCTTAAGTCTATGAAAGCTTATGCTACCAATTTGTCTCTTTCTGTTGGTCTCAAAGGTGCTACAAGATCTCTTTGTGTACTGATTCCACAAAATTGGTTCAGCATTCTCCATTCATTCTCCAAAATTGATTCAGATTTCTCCTCTAATTACAATTTGGATTACCTTATTTTCCTGTGTATAAGACTACTTTTTAACCTGCAAAATCTGTGGTTAAAGTTGGGGGTCGTCTTATACGCTGGGTACAAGGATAAGGAGGATAGAGGGGCTAAAGCTCTATATTTTGGCTGGGAAAATGGAGGGTCGTCTTATACGCCAGAAAATACGGTAATACCCACCGTAGGGGTTCCCTACCTTTGCCAACATTGGGACCACTGGGCAGGTATGAGACTTGCCTGAGAAATAGCTGAGAAAGAAAATAATCCTCTTGCTGATGCAGATGGGGTGAAGTGAGACTCATTAGCTTCAGTTCCCATTGTCTCAAGCCATCATGGCCTATAGGTGTGTTGACCAAGATTGATGGAGGTTGGAGGGATGCTGGCTTAGGACCTTATCACACGGGGGTCCCAAGCAGAAGGTATCCAAAGCTAATACGTATTTTTTCCCCGTGTGTTTACACATATCCAAAGGCAATCCAAAGCTAATACGTATTTTTTTTCCGTGTGTTTACACATATCCAAAGGCAATC